ACATTTTCATGAAGTGGAGCAAAGCCATTTTTTTCTTTAGATAGAATGATCCTTGCACCAAGATGTCTCTCTCATGGTGACTTCTGTCTGTGGCATTGTTGGAATACAGGGTTCTTTCTTCCCTTACATATAAAACTGCCCATACACCTTACAATTATCTGCAGATTTTCTGTGGTCAGATGGAAAAGGTGAAACAGATTCCTCCATCTACACTTAACTGTGTGGATGGAGTAATCACCAACCAATCTGTTGCACTTTTTCCATCTGACCACAGAGAATCTGCAGATAATTGTAAGGTGTATGGGCACCTTTAGATTGACACAAAGAACACCAGTCTTCAGGATTGGGGTTCTGGATCATAGGCCTGTTTAGGATTCTTGCTCCAAGGAGAAATACATGTTTTTAATCAACCTCCTGGTGTTCCTTCTGACTGGTTGTCAAGGTTCGGGTTCAACTGGCATTACCACAAAAGCTTACATCAACCATCAAGGGAACAGCAAGCGTTCTGCGTGTATGCATTCCTGGGGCGAAATAAACGTGAGACAGATTTTCTCAGCAGACCACGTTTGCACCTTGGAGAAATTATCTCTTCATTCAGAGGGGTTCCCAGGCACTGGGGAACACCGGACACAACTTGTTAGTGTCGCAGGCCAACTAAATGCTGTACAGATTTGTTTCAAGGATATAGAACTAAATGGCGGATGCTATAAATGCCCTAATAGTGCTGTGGGATAAGTATACCGTGCGCTATGCATTTCCTCCACTAGAACTTTAGTCTCGTCTACTTCGTAAGTTAGTGTCCAGTATCATTAATGTCATTCTCATGGCTCCAGATAGGTCTCAGAGAGAGTGGCACATTGACTCCCTTTGTATTTTAGCTGATGCTCTGTGGCCTATCAGCCAGAGTTGCTATCTCAAACCTCATGCATCACTTGCCCCTCCCTTTTAGATTGTAAGCCCTCAGTGGCAGGGCCCTTCTTACCATCTTGTCTTGAACTGTATTGTGATAGTAATGTCTTCCTTATATTGTAAAGTGCTGCTTCTCAGCCACTGGCTTGACAACCTGGCTGTTGAAACCCATGTTTTGTGAGCGAGACGGGCATTTCAGATTCTGTAATCCTGACCAGGGTGACATCTTGTAAATCTTCTTTCCACAAGATTATCATCAAACTTGGAAGACTTATTCCACTGGTATGATTCTTTGGAGGTTTCACCCCATGTGATTTTTCTTTCCTTCAGTTGAGGATAGAAATACATTTGGCCCTTAACACTATCTAGGCCAGGTGTCTGCACTGCCCATTTTTTTCCAGCATCCACTTGCTAATCATCCACTGATACGTTCTATTATACTAGGGGTTACACATGTTGCTCCCCCGTTAGACCTCCACCCCAACCGTCTGTTACAAAGACCTTCTTTTGAACCTATTTTTGGCATTGCTATTCTGTAAGGTAGCCTTCTTTGACCAGAATGGTTTCCGAGTTATCCGAATTGTCCTGTTGGGAGCACGTATTGTTCTACATAAAACCAAGGTTGTTTTGAGACAAATATCCTTCTCCTTACTTTATTGAGAATCTTGTGTTGCCTTCTCTGTGTTCAGCACCTGTTCAGGCCAAGAAGATTTTTGTGCATTGCCTGGATTTGGCAAATACCATCAGGGTTTAGGCTTTCTGCCATTGCGTCATTTAGACAGGCTTATTCTTTTTTGTTTTGTTCCAGAAGACCCTAAATGAGGTTCTGTGGCTTCCACGTACACTAAATCAAGTGGATTTAATGGGTATTGTGCAAGTCTGTGAGTTAAGAGATAATGTTCCTTCTTTTTCCATCACAGCCCACTTCACTAAGGCTGTGAGTGTTTCTGTCATCAGACCGGTCTCAGATTTGTTAGACTGTGACTTGGTCTTTTGGCCTGAATTTTTTCATAAGTTCTACAAAGTCATCGTGTCCGCCTCCACAGATGCTAGTTTCAGCTGAAAGGCTCTTCAAGCATCTATTTTGTAACTGGTTTGCTTGTGGTGCTGTGCCCACTCCTCAGTTTGAACTACTTATTGACATCCCTAGGCCTCTTACTATCAAGCTGTGCCCTTCAAGCAGTATGTCATCTGTGCATTTAGGAGTTTGCCAGGAGTTTAGCTTTACTAGACATGGGCATTTATGAACACTTTTGTGAGTTTATAGATTTACTGGTCCTTTCATGACACTTCAAACAACATGCTATGTCTTCTGCCACTTATTTTTTTATTAAGTACAGCTGCAGATATGCCACCTCCCTGCAAGATAAGTGTGAAGTATCTAACTGACAAAGCAGCGTTATATAAAAGTAGCAGACCCAAACTCAAAGTTTGGGTAAGCAATATAAAAAAAAATCTTGAGGCATTAGGAACTAGTAGTATGAGAAACTCAATGTATAAAAACTGAACTGCCCATGTAACGGGTCCCTTGGTATCCCAGTTCAAGGTCACCTGACCTGAAACTGGCATTAGGAGTATGACCCACAGCAGCTCTGTGGGGCTCACAATGACAGCAGTATTCACTCACTTTAGGTATCGTGTATGAAAAGCCTGCTGAAATTCTCCTATAACCTAGAACTGCCTGCATGAATGCCTGCATGTTGTTTTTCCAAACCTGGACTGCAGAACTGACGTGTACAAGCTCAATGGGTAAAATAGCAGTTTTTCTTTTTGCAAAATTCTCACATATCAGCTTGTTTGACTAGCCAAAATGTTTACATTAGCACCACAATGGTGGCCGCTACATGTTTCACTTGGGACCAGCAAACAAACTTATAACAATTTATAGGTAAGCTTCTTCACTTTGTCCATCCCCACCCTCCCAGATGCCTAAGGATTATTTTAAAGATAATATAAACTGGTTCACTTCAGGGTAAAGCAGCAGGTTCAACTTAATACCAGCCCCACCAGCTGCACGTACCTACCATGCCTTTGTCTGTGAAGGTTCTCATTCATCCAGGTCATGGTATATCTGTAAAAAAAATAAGTCAAGGCAACTGGGCTTGCTGTATTTTTCTTGAATTCTTTTCACTGGTCATCCAACCAGCTTTCTCGATTCAGAATGACTTGTAGAAAAAATTCTCTAGGAATAAATTCACCATATTTATTCCTAGAGAATTTTTTCTACAAGTCATTCTGAATTGAGAAAGCTGGTTGGATGACCAGTGAAAAGAATTCAAGAAAAATACAGCAAGCCCAGTTGCCTTGACTTATTTTTTTTTACAGATCTACCATGCCTTTGTTCCCCCACTAGTCCAATCAGTGTAAGCTTACCCAGGGCTAAGGACTCCCTTCCCCATGGGAGAAGATCGGGTGTCTAAGGGCCCAGTCACCACAATCCAGTAATGCAACATGAAAGGAAGGGGAATGGGTCACATATGCCCTCCATTCATGTAAGTCCACTGGTAACCCTTCTTATTCCCAAATGGGTTCGTTAGAAACTGAATGCATTTATAGCGGTTTGTGACACCGTCTCCCTTCCTTTCTTGTGCTAGTGTAATAAAAACTGGAAGTAACAGAAATAAAATAAATTCTAACTACTCCCCTATACCCCAAACAGAAACAAAAACTCTTTAAATAATAGTCGTAGCTTTTGGTAAACATTGACTATTATAGTTAACCTGAATGAACACCGCATAATATTTCACTGAGCCAGAAGCTGCCTACTAAACAAGTACTCCACACTAATATTTTGCCAGAGCGGGTTATCCTAAACACTGTATATGAATAAAAATAATGGCAGAAGGCAGATAACTGAAATAATGGTCCTGTAAAAATTTTCGCTCAAAGTCAGTAAACCTAAAGAACTGCAAATTCAATGAATCTGTTGCCCCTTTAGTGACGTAGCCTTCCTCGATGCACTTGATGCCTCTTTTGTCGAACTTCACTCTAAAGCAGCCTTTCTCAACCTTTTCACCATGGAGGAATCCTTGAAATAGCTTTCGGGTCTCAGGGAATCCCCACAGTGAGTTATTATACCTGGTGCATTAGCGTAATCAGTAGATGGTTTAGAGTTTAAAAAAAAAGGAAATAAAGAATGACTATACCAAATCTTTAAATAACCAAATTATATTCAGTGATAATGATATCAAATGAATAATAACAATGTACAGAAAAAAAAAAATTGTAGTGGCCCCTTACATTGGTAGTCACTGTAGGCAGTAGGGATGCAACGATAACGGTTTCTCAGTTTCGAGTATGAGTACCGAGACTTCGCTTTCGGTACTCGTCGATACAGAGTACCGATACCAGTGCTTCCACTGGCATGGATCCGGCTTCCCAGGCAATCTGATTGCCTGAGAAGCTGGCTCCATGTTGTCTGGCCGGCTTGATTGTGAATGGCCGTAAAACCGGCTTTTCAGACAAACAGCATCGAGCCGGCTTCCTGGCCAATCAGGAAGTCGGGTGGCGAGTAATGACCTGCCTCCCAGCTTCCTGATTGGCCATGAAGCCGGCTCAATGCTGACTGGCTGGAAAGCCGGCTTCCTAGCCAATCAGCATCGAGTCGGCTGTTCAGCCGGCTCAATGCCGCTTGGCCGGGAAGCCAGCTTTCTGGCCAATCAGGAAGCCTGGTGGGCGGGTCATTACCCGCTGCCCAGCTTCCCGATTGCACGGGAAGCTGGCTCCATGTTCCCCTAGGGCACTGCCGGACAGAGGAAATCTTCCTCTGACGGGAAGCTCTGGTATCGGTGAAGGTATCGGAGCATTTGGGCGAGTACGTATACTCTCCCAAATACTCGGTCTAAATACCGATACTAGTATCGGTACATCCCTAGTAAGCAGGATATCAATTTGCCACTGCTTTTTCCTCAAGGAGCCCCCATCAACCTCTGGAGAGATCCCAGGTTTAGAAAGGCTGCTTTCAAGACAAAAAAATCTGGGGAATCAGAATTAAAGATAATCTTCAGGTTTACCAATTTAAAGAAAATAAAAAACATGCAACAAAATAGTGGATATTTCTTGTGCTTCAAAACCTTATAATATATACTCACAAAGATTAAGCGGTGTAGAAGCATTTTTCTGAGCCCAGTAGGAATCCAGGTTAGAGTTACAGGATGGAGAAGTTGTCTTCATTTTTTTGGTAGGTGGCGTGCTAGAAGTTGGTGGTTTGGGGTGAGCTAGGCCTCCTATGGAAGGCTTTGACTGGTTGCCAGGCTCCATTTTGCCATGGCCACAACCAGCCTCTGACTTTATGTGGGAAATGACGGCTTCAGTTAATTTTGAGTAAGCACCGGTCTCAGGAGACAGGACTCGAGGAGCACCAGCTTCAACTATTTTGATTTGTGTGCTGTTTCCCGACCCACTAGGGGATCTGAAATGTGCTGAAGTTTCTATAGGCCCTGCACTGTCTACTAATTTCAGGCCACTCTCTGCTGCCGACATAAAGCGGGAACCACCTTCAGACAGGTTCGCAGAGGCATTGCCGCTTGCCTTGTTTGTGCTTTCTGTTGGCTTGGCGAACGTACCAATTTCTTTGCTCTTGGCGCTACTATTAAGCTCCGTAACAGTGATGTTGCTATTGCTAGGAGCTTTGGCGAGGTCAGTGTCAGCTGCTGTCTGTCCACACATTCGCTTCTTGAAATCCTCGCTTTTTATAAGACAGTTTAGAGTGGCAATTGGGGAGCCTTTTGCATCTGGATCAGTGACTCCCAAGTGGCGCAAGTGAGCCCTAGCATGGCTGGACAAGCCCTTTCTGGTTTCAAACCAAGCACCACAAAACTGGCAGTCATTTTCTCTGTTTGATTCTCCTTCCACACCTGTAAAATGAAGTGGTGGGGTATACAAAACACAAATCAAAAGAAGGGGAATGAAATGAAATGATGAAAAATACATAAAATATTAAATAAAAATAAAAGGTGTTAATGAAGAAAGAAATGGAAATGGGAAAAAATGAGGAGACAGACAGGTGAGGGGACAATATGGAGACAAGGAGAAGAAAGGAAAGAGTGAGACAGGCCGAATATTAAAAGCAGATGCCTGCCTTTTCCCCTTTAAACATTCCTAAGAGCCCTGTTGAACCCAACCGTGGCACTAGTGGCCTCCCAGCTCCACTCACTCAGATTCAAAGGCCCGTCCTCATCGCCCCACTGGGCTTTGGAGGATTCCTGCTGGGGACTGACCACCTTCTTAGCCCCCAATGAGCTCTCATCTTTCGGAAGCTTGCCGTGCTTGGCTAGCTCTTTCAGCAGATCAATGGGAGCACTGATTTCTGGCCCAAGAATCCCAAGTTGTCGTAGGTGGGAGCGTGCATGGCTGGCCAAGCCCTTCCGGGTCTCGAAGCACGCTCCGCACAGCTCACACGTAATGGAACCTTGGCCTGGCAGGGGGTATCAACCACAAAATCAATTACCGATTGAACATAAGTATTATAAATTTAGGACTAACACAGTTTTCACAATTCAGGCTGGAAACACAGCTTTGCATTTTTGCCTGATGTGCTTAATGAAAAACACATCAAAACCACGTTGATGCAGGTTGTAATGTATGTGGAAAGGCACGTCAATGCGTGCAGACCTGCAACGTGCATTTCAATGAGTATTAAAATGCAAGCAACATGGAAATTTAATGGCATGGATTTCAATGAAAAGCACATCAGAGGAAAAATGCAGCAAAAACGAGGTGTTTTCAGCCTCCATTTAAAGAGCCTTTAATTCTGGAAATGACTGCCAAACACAAAACTTATCTGCAAAGCAGACTACTGTAGTGACGACTAGGGATGCATCGATACCACTTTTTAAGACCGAGTACGAGTACCGATACTTTTGATCAAGTACTTGCAGATACCAATTACCGATACTTTTTCTTAAAGGGACAGGTCACATTTTTTCTAAAGCAATACAAACTAATGCTTTAAGGTCACTTTCTTAATATTATGATTCATGAGATGACGAGGGAGCATGACACCGGCTTCCTGGCCAATCAGAATGCCGGGCGCTGCGTCATTACACGGCGCCCGGCTTCCGGATTTGCTTGCTTCCTGACCAATCGGGAAGCCGGGCAGCGCGTCATTGCACGCTACCCAGCTTCCTGATTGGACGGGAAGTCGGCTCCATGCTCTCTCATCACAAGTGACGAGAGAGCATGGAGCCGTTTCCTGGCCAATCAGGAAACTGGGCAGCGTGTAATGATGCGCTGCCCGGCTTCCTGATACAGGAAGTACTCGTGCTAGGTATCGGAGCATTTCGGAGAGGAAGAGAACTCACCCCAATACTCGGTATCGTCACCGCTACTAGTATCGGTGCATCCCTAGTGACAACACTAAAAAAACAAGCGGCTTAGGATGAGGAGGAAGGTCTGTCACAATAGTTTTTCTGTCTGTACCAGTTAGTAAAGGAAAATCTAAAATGTTATAAGCGTACATCAGGAAAAAAAAAAAAAAGGGGGAATGGCTGAATGAAGGCACCTGTTCCTTTTATTTCCACTGGTACAACGTAGGCATGGACAGTAACCCTTCACTATGCAGGACCAGGGGAAAAAGGGTTGGGCTTCAGTACCACTTTCAAGCAGAAGTCCTAAGCAATGGTGTTTCTACTGCTGCTCGTCTTCCCTAAAACTCATTTCTATTCCTGTCCCATGTGAAGATCAACCTGGGAAGTTAAAAAACTTGACGACGGTTCCAACTAATCCATACTGTGCAAAAAAAAAAAAAATACAGGTCTCATTTGCTGGCTGCATCATCTCCCCACTTCTCATCTCAGGTGGAATCCGTCAGCAAAAACACCAGTAGAAATTTAGTTAAAAATTTGTTTTTGTAACATTTGCTCAATTTTCAGAAAGCTATTGGGGTCAAATTGACCATAACTTTCAACTGTATTTAGGAAACAAAAATCGAAGGAACAGCATGGAAAAATGTTTCTCGAGTGAACGAGATTCTAACGATGAATGCGAGTTTCATTTCATTCCAAAATCGAATGTTGAAACCAAATGAAATTTTTAACGACATTTATCAATTATCGCATGCTCTGGTGAGATTTTTTTGTATGAACATTCATATTAAAATCTACACGTGTGTGACCACTGAGGTGCGATCTCCCCAGTAAGCAACAAAAGCACAACAAATGTTTGGAAAAAAAAAACATCAGTTGACTTTAAAAATGAAATAAATATCCATATAGAATGCATTTGTAATAGGTTTCTACATCCAAGTGAAAGTTTTTCATTGCAGCTACACTGTCTCCAAAATAGTTGCAAGTCATTCCCATGAGACACACTTTTTCCATGTCCGTGATCAGCTCTCATATGGAACCATCGAAAAAAAGGAAAGAGGAACAGATTTCTAATGGTGGACATGACTGGTATCAAGAGATGACATGCACCAATTTCAACAGTCAAACTAGCTGGAAGTGACAAATCTAAAGCTGAATGGGAACATGATTAAAGGCAAATGAGTAACCCAATGACTTGACATCATTTGGAAATTCCAGGTATGAGATACCAGCATGAAGGTGCCGAGTATTTGGGTGAGTGCCCGTACTTGCCCAAATGCTCATGTATCAGGAAGCCGGGCACCGAGTCATTATTATTATTATAATACAGGATTTATATAGCGCCAATAGTTTGCACAGCGCTTTACAATATAAGGAAGACATTACAGTCACAATACAATTTAAGACAAGATGGTAAGGAGGGCCCTGCCCGTGAGGGCTTACAATCTAAAAGGGAGGGGCAAGTGATACATGAGGAGGTAGCTGTGCGGGGGTGATTGTTTGAGAAAGTGATTGTTCAGTGGTTAGGTTGAGGTGGGATAGGCTTCCCTGAAGAGATGAGTCTTAAGGGATTGCCTAAAGGCAGTCAGTGTGGGAGATAGACGGACAGGTTGGGGTAGAGAGTTCCATAGAATGGGAGACACTCTAGTGAAGTCCTGGAGGCGAGCATGGGAGGAGTTGATGACGGAGCTGGAAAGCAGGAGGTCTTGTGAAGAGCGGAGGGGAAAGGAATAGTGGCCATTGTGTTTAGCTGTTATTAAGTCATTAGTGAGTTTTAGGAGGGCGGTTTCAGTGGAGTGTAGGGGGCGAAAGCCGGACTATAAGGGATCGAGAAGGTTGTTATCAGTGAGGTGGCGGCTGTAGATAAGGCCTCTATGAGTTTGGAGGTGAATGGCAGTAAGGAGATTGGCCTGAGATTGTTGAGGTCGGTAGGGTCCACGCGGATGCCGGCTCCACGCGGATGCCGGCTCCACGCTCCCCCGTCACTTGTGACAAGGGAGCATGGAGCCGGCTTCCCGGCCAATCAGGAAGCCAGGCAATGTGTAATGACTCGCTGCCTGGTTTCCTGATTGGTCGGGAAGCTGGCCAATCAGGAAGCCGGGCGCGGTGTAATGACAACGCCTGACTCTCCGATTGGCCGGGAAGCCGGCATCATGCTCCCTCATCACCTTGTGACGAGGGAGCATGGAGCCGGCTTCCTGGCCATGTAGCCAGGTGGCGAGTCTATACACGCTGCCTGGCTTCCTTAATGGGATTTCTGACATCAGTATTCGGTTTCAGCGAGTACCAAAAAAGTAAATAAAATCGATACTCGTACTCGATACCGAAAAACCGGTATCGGTGCATCCCCACTGGGGACATCAACCTGAGAAGCTTAGTGTTCATTGATAGACCACCTTTCAAAGCAAGGTTAACAGACCAATCCAGGGACTGAGGATTCCCTATTCACCCTGTTGCTCAGCTTACCTAGGTGGATGAGGGTTGTGGGAAAAGTGTTCATGCCCGTAGGCTGGGTGATCAGGTCTGAGCACTGTCATGTGGGGGGGAGGTCAAATGGTTCCCCTTACCCAAAAGTCTTGTCCCGGCAGAGCATCTATAGAAAGGAAATCTGTAATTTTATTTATTTTAATTTTTTCCATATGTTGGCAGTGGCAGCTCATTTGCATCCTAAAGGGTTCTCCAACTCTAAAACACCTTGATATTTTTTGTCTTGCTACTACACAGACACAATGTGTAACATTACCTTTAGCATCTTCTCCTTTGCTGGTGCTTTGATCAGACACCCTTTTCTCTGCTGGGCTTTGCTCAGGTTGTCCACCTAATGCTCGAGCCAGATCTATCGGTAGCCCATCATCTTCATCTGAAGCCAGTGCTGTAAGGAAATTAGCCATGTCAATGACAGCACAAGAATAAGGATTAATCCCCCAAACCCCAAAAAGCATGCAAAGACACCTTGGAGGAGGTCAATACTGATAGGGTAAGGAGGCGGTTAGCGATTGGCTTCCCATGATTCTGGCTGCGCATGCTCAACGAAAGTTATCAATAAAAAAGCATCTAAGCATGATGTCTATTGCCTATTAAGTTGTGTTGTCCAATTTCCTTGATGATGTGAATATTTGAAGGCTATTTCCTCGACTCCATTCACACAGACTTTATATCAACCACAGCAAAGAAGCTTTGTCACGCCCAACATTTTCCACCATTAGTCAGACTATGTAAGATTCAAATTTGTCAAAAGGATCACCACAAACCCGCAGCAGCAGCTTTGTTTTCACCCACACCATTACAGAGTGCAGGAATGTAAGTTACACTTTACAAAGCCTTGTTTCTACTCAACTACAAATGTCTCTAACAATTTTAAAGTACAAGATCAGCCTAGAATTCTTGGCCTAATCTAACCTAGATACCCCCACCCAGATGCTTGTTTCTCTCTCCATTAGAGTGGTGGCCTCCTACAGTGTTTACCCTATTCTGCTACTGTCCGTGCTTGCACAAAAGAGACCCCCAGAATTGAGTGGGCTGTACCCCTAGCATCTCTAATGTGGAGAGCATAGCATGAAGAATATAAGGCACTCACAGCACAGGCAGTGCAGAAGAAGAATTTTGGCAAAGTCATGGAGAGGTAAAGCGAGCATCTGGATGGAGAGAGAGGGTTGCTAGATTATGGGGGCTAGGGAGGGTGGGCTAATGGGTTTTTGTTAAAAACAGAACTTCTCCTTCAACATGAATGGTGCGAAATATATAAACGCAACTCAAGTAGTAGCACCCCAAGTAGTAGTCAGGCATGACTGATGAAGGGACCGAAGATGTGTGTGCATCAATAAAACGATCACTTCTTGAAGCTTTAACCTTAGTGTGCTGGTGACATACTTTACTACTTGAATCTGAAGCGGTGCCATCCGCAGTCACTACAGCACCCATAGCAAGGGGCATACCGGTAAGGAGTGCGGAAGGATACTTCTACAATATACCGCAACCCATCTCCTCTGACATGGAGGGTAAGAAAATTTTAGCCAGCTCTTTTTTCCTTATCAGATATAAAGATGAAGCCATGCTTAAAACCCTGAAAAAGTGACCCAGCAGGCCCGACCTACATAACCCCATCAAAAGCCCTTGAGGCAGGGTACATTTATTAGTCAACAGCAGTACAAGGATTCTGCTAGTGAAGTAAATCTAAGGCAGATAAGGGTTAAAGTGGTACTAAATGCTCGATTTTGTTTTACATTTATCAATTGCTAGCAAGCAGTATAGCGTGACCCTACATTTAAAAAAGTGAAGTGTGGACAAACAGCTAAAAATGTAGCTGTGTCTGTGCTGCTCGCTCCCGGCTGCAAAAAGCAGCTTCCCCAATTGTCTGTGCAGGAGATAATGTGTGCAGGGGCATGCGCACTTGATATTACTGGAGGGGAAAGGAGGAGAGAGACAATGTCAGTGAATGTACGCACGCTTGGAGCATGCACGCAGGACAGACTCTGTGGGACACAGGAAGAAATAGGAGGCACCACAGGATCAGAGAGCGCTGAGGAGACAGTTCAAAACGATTGGAAGGATGTTCACATCAAGAGGCATCACATAAGGCAAGTCCTTACAGCAGCATTAGGGGGGGGGGGGGAAAAAAGAAACAGAGCCTTTAGTGCTACTTTAAAAAGTGGAGTGTCTGAAGCAGGAAGCCACCAGTACTAAACATGGAATATTATTTAAGATGCTTATTTCCACTACAATAGAATCATAACTATTTATATTAGGAAAACTGGATTTGCCAACAGGATATGTGTTCCTGTGCACTAGCATAAAACCTGTTGTAAATTTTTAAAAAATGGAGCAGATCCTGCTCCTATTAAAGAAGCGATCTGCTCTGTTTTCTATGCCGGGTCGGCACAGGACATAGCGGAGAGAGCGAGGAGGAAGACTGTGAACCCTGTGTTTGCTAGGGTGAACAGCTGGGCATATAGGCTGCTGTTTCCCTTGCCAGAGCAAACAGGGTTTAACAGCTCTGAACTAGGAGTACTCAGAGCCGAGCACTTCTGGGTTCATCCTTCAAAAAGGGAGTTTAGAGAACAGAAGTTGGCTGATCCCTCTCCACTCCCCACCCAGATTCATCTATTGGATATCCTGGGACATATGGCAAGGGGTGAGATGTAACTTTGTAACTATGTAGAATTAATTGGTCAGCTTTACAGAATTACTTCTACAAAAAAAGCTGGCATCACGGTGGAAAAAAGCTAACAAAAATGCACAGCTGCCACTACAGCCTTTTCGGGGGCAACAGTAGGGGTTAAAGGTAAATCTCTCACAACAGATATATGGGAGTCTTCATTGCCAGCTTGTGGTGAAAGTGCATGCCCCAAAGTTCTCATCTTTCTGTTTGCTTCGATTGACTTAAAAAAAAATAATAACCATATAAAATATTCAGTATCCTGAGGCTTCACTTACTGCATGCTGGCCCCATTTGACTAACTAAAGGAAGGATAAAGAAGGCATCCATGGAGCCAGAAGACTTATAAACAAGTCTCCTCCCATATTGTATACAGGTGGTATCCTTAAAAAATGCCTGTGGTATCCTTGATTAGTTTGATTTGGGATAAGTTATAGATGGTGCAACAATTAGGGCTTGTTCCCACTATGTCCATAGAGTGTTAATCAACATAAGCTCAACGCAAGGACACACAGAAAACAACTGTCCAGTTTACAGTGCTCAGATGCTCTTTTGTCTCTGAGAAGTCGATCTTCTTGTTCCTAACTAATGTGCTAATGAATCTCTGTTGGATAGTCAAACTTCGGGTAGAAATTAGGGATGCACTGATAGAGGTTTTATCAAGTACCGATTTTTTTTCCGGTATTCGCCGAAATACCGATACCGGAAGTCCCATTAAGGAAGCCAGGTGCGCCGTGTAAAGACTCGCCACCTGGCCTCCCGATTAGCAGGGAAGCCGTTTCCATGCTCCCTCGTCACCTGGTGATAAGGGAACATAGAGCCGGCTTTCTGGCCAATCAGGAAGCCGGGCGCTGTGTAAGCACTCGCTGCCCGGCTTCCTGATACCGGAGTATTGGTCTAGGCATCTGAGTATTTGGGCGAGCACGAGTACTCAAATACTCGGCATTTGGACCGATACTAGTATCGGTGCATACCCTAGTAGAAATCCACTTGAACTGCATGACAAACTTGAAATTGTAATGCCGAAAAAGTCATCACCTTTGTAATGTGTGTGACCTCTCATGCCAGAGCAGGCCCCCGAAATAACTATTGTATTAAAAATGCTCAAAGTGTTTTCTGTTAAAGGAGAACTATGGGGTCAGTGTTTTTCCCCATAGTTCTCCTTAGGGTAACGGGAGGACACAAACTAGCGTCCTCCCGTCACCCTAAGCTCAGTATACAGGGAGCTACAGCTCGCGGTATACTGAGATGCCGCAGCCGGAGCGGATCCCGACTTAGATGACGGGATCCGCCCAGCTGCGTGAGTGACAGCTGGCTCTGCCTATCTAGAGGCAGAGCCAGCTGTACCCGCCCCCTCCCCCGTCCGTTCCGCCAGTCAGCGCTGGCAGATTGGAGCGGGGAGAGGGGAATCCAGCCCCTCCCCCTGTCACGGCAGAGAGCCGTGACAGGATCGAGAGGCGAGCGAAACCCGGTATGTGTTCGCTCACCTACCGATCTACTGAGCCGACCTGTGACAGTCTCATTGTCACAGGTCGGCTAGAACTATGAGGTGAGTGAAAATCACTCACCTCATAGTTCTCCTCAAAAGTGACATTAAACCCTCAGATTTTTTAACATAAACCAATACTGTAATGTGTTCCTTACTGTAATCCATGGTTTTTTCCCTTCTCTTTGTTGCTCTTCCTTTTAAATCCTCATGTCTTCTCATGCTTGGGGAGAACTTCCCTTTGCAGCTGAGTGCCTCTTCCTGTAGTGCTGGCTCAGGTTACAAACCTATACACAGACACCGTGTATCCATTCCAGAGACAAGGCAGTCTGCTGCAAAACAGAAGTTCTGCCCAGCATGAGAACAGATACAGATTTAAAAAGGAAGAGCAGCAAAGAGAAGGGAAACTACCATGGATTACAGTAAGGCGCACATTACAGTATTGTTTTATGTTAAAAAATCTGAGGGTTTAATGTCACTTTAAGGCTCCAATTACCAATTGAACAATGTGTTGGAATAAAGGAGTGAGATTATTACAAAGTTGAGTATCTAACTTAGGCCCGGTTCACACCTGAGCGTGTTGTAGCGCGTTCCTACGCTCTGCAAAACGCTCAAACACAGAAATCCCATTATTTCCTATGGGAATGGTTCACACCTGGGCATATTACAGGCCGTATGAACGTGCTACAAAATGCCCTACGCCCAAAGAAGTACAGAAGTTTCTTTTGGGCGTTTATGTTGCGCGTTTCCATTGGGATACAGCCAAGTAGCCATCGGAAACGCACGTTTACCGCGAATCGCGGTAAAAACGTGCGTCACGAAACGCGCATATTCGATACGCCTAGGTGTGAACCCAGCCTTAATATGAAATCTGTCAGAAGGGTAAAGCAGATCAGTTTAATTGACTAACGTGTTCAGATCTGTTCTCATTCTTGAAACTCAAAAGTAGCACAATTTGTGTCACCTATAGCTAATGTTTTTAGACTTTTCCTTTCATTTCTAGATACTCAAGGGGCATTCATCGAAGCTGAACACCGGGCACAAAAACCCTTATAGAACACTGTGTACCAAGATTACAAGTCCAAGAGCTGATAGTTTCAGCGCCCGGGCCTAGTCCCAGACCCCAAATGTCATTCACTGCCAGTGGCTCCAGAGCCAGTGGGGGGGGGGGGGGCGAAAGCCGTGGGGGCCGGGGGGG